TGGCTATCAGGTGTGAGCCTTGCTGGGGGAGGTTCCCAGTACACACCTTCCATCTTCCTCGCCTGCCATTGGTTCCCGGGGAGGGAGGCCTCCTGGTTGCCTCGGTGACCAGGGGGTGGTCCTACCTCCCCTGGCTATAAAAACCTGGCCTGAGCTCTGGCTTATTGCTGAGTTATTCCACCTTATGGTGAACACCTAGCCTCCCTGCTGATCCTCCTATTGCCTGTTGCCCCTTTGTATCCTTCCCGATTACCGACCCTTGGACTGTCTTCCGCCTTTGAACCTTCGCTGCCTGCCACGACCCGGATTGGACATTGACTACCCCTCTTGGATTATCCCTAAACTTGTACCACGTTTCTGGACTGTCAGCTGCTTACTGCCAGTGGGTTCCTCATCTCACTACTAGCTCCCTGGGACGTCTGACACTCTAATCCGATTAATGAATAAATACAAAAATGAAAATTATGAATAGTGAAGCTGCTGCAATCCAGACACTAGGTCCAATGGAAAACAAGTAAATAAATATGCAGCGCTAGTAACCCTTAATCGTATTAATTAATCAGTGAAAAACAAGTAATCAAATTAAGATAATTGATTGATCAAATCAATTAATACCAGGAAGTGTATATTAATAACAGAATGTGACATAAATGTGAAAAAATATTTCATAACATAATCATATATTTGTGAATAACATTACGTACTCCTTGTGAAAAAGTTAATTGTTCAGCTTCATATAACACCCGAAGTGATAAATTGATTGTCCATTAAAAAATATTCAATAAAGTGCAAAAATGAATAAATATTCAGTAAAGTGCAAAAATGAATAAATAAATTAATGAATAAATAAATAAATAGTCCCAAAGTGCTTGATAGTTGTTCCAATAAACACCTCGTGCCACAGAAACACCCCCTTATGAGTGCGCACTCACCACATATATAGATGGATGTAAGCTCACAGCCAAAAGCTCACTTGTATGTCAGTGGGTTGCCCAGCGCTTTCTTTGTGTGCCTCCACAGCGATGTCCCATAAAAGATGAAGCCCCCGCAATCATAAGAAAAAAGAAATCCTCATTGGGCAGTAAATCAAAATAGGTTTATTTAAATGAACTTTTAAAACTCACATCAATCATAAGAAACGACCGGCCTGTAAACTCCAAACAAACAGCCTCCACTTCCGCATCCGGTGTAGCGTCAGATACACCCACCCCCGACGCATTTCGTCATCGAGACTTCTTCAAGGGGAACGTCGGGTCTATCTGGCCACACCATTCATTTTCATTTATAGCAGGCGTAATTGTGCATCTACAACAATCACCACTAGATGCCTCACTTTTACTTCTATATAGAATATACAGCCAACATCACATGAATAAATAGATAAATGGAAACCGATATTCTCGAGAGACACTAGATGTCTCCCTTTTGTTTCCTATTCATAATATCAATATAATAAAGTATACATCAGAGGAAGAAACTCTTGTTTAAAGCCTTGATGCTGAAAAGGCATTTGATCTCGTTGATTGGCCATTTCTGCTTTCCAGCATGCAACACATTGTGATTCAAATATGATTCGTAACATATATATATGGCACGCACCACCTCTATTCGACTCCCCAATGCTGCCTCTCCAACATTATCAATACGCAACAGTACTAGACAGGGTTGCCCCCTTTTCTCTTTTCAATTTGTTTTGAGCCTCTAGCTGCCCGTATTCATAATGCCCCTGACATATCTGGTATGTCTATTCAAGACCACCAGTTTAAGCTTTTCCTCTTCAGTGATAACATACTACTCACGTTCACCAAACCTTTAATCTCCTTACCTAACCTACACAAAAAATATCTCTATTTTCCCCCTGTCAGGTTATAAACCTAACTTTACTAAGACTGAAGCTTAACGGGCTAATTTCTCACCCAATACACTCCCCATGGTTCAATCCTCTTTTAATTATAATTAGAATTTTAATCAGCTTAAATTTCTAGGTATCCCAAGGATCCAACAATTGTAATTGGGAGCTCAGGGTCCACCTTCAGGGGGTGGATGTCATAACGCCTGTCATGGATGGGAAGAATAGCTCTGATCAAAATTATGCTACTGCCCAACTTCTCTACTACTTGAGACAATACCGATCAAAGTTCCAAGGGCAGATCTCAAACTTCTCCAACAAGCTTTGCTGAATTTTACTTGGTGCGACTCCAGACACAGATGGGTTGATTTACTAACCTTATAAACACACCACGAACATGTATACACCTCTGTAGTGTGTTCCCTCCCAGCATGATCTATGGGTGGAATCTAAACACCTTTGTAGTGTGTACACACCCAGCAGGTGTGTTGTGCAAAGCCAAGCATGAATTACAAGGTGATGTTGTGTAAATTAGCTCTATGTTGTGTTGCTTGCGTTGATGAATGCAGGAATGTAAATGCATGAGCTAACCATTTTTGTCTAAACTGTGAAGCAGCATTATATATGCATTATATGCATGATTTTTCCATATATGTCATTAGTGGAAATATGCTTTTAGAGACTTTTTGGTTGATAAATAAGTTTTGCTGTGTGAAAATCACACGCACCTGGTGCGTGCGTGTGTTTAGGTTAGTAAATCACCCCCAGAGTCTCTAGACGAGTCCTCATGGCATCTAAATCTCGGGGGGTCTGGGGTCCCCAGACATTCTATGTTATTACTTAGTGGCTCACATCATCTAGCTTCCTGGTCAGGGGCTGATCCTCCTAACTGATTGACAGATATTGAAACTCTCTGGGTCTCCCCATTCCATTCCAATGCCTTCAGTTGGCATACCCCTCAACCCGTAAAATTTTGCCATCTCGTGACTTCTTTCACACTAGAGATATATATATTTTAAGAGAAGGATCCCCTTAACCGCATCCTCATTCCTCATTGTGCTCATCTTTATATAATCCAGCACTGCCTGCCAAGCTTGTTCATGGTGTAGCCCACCAGTGGCTGACTTAATCCCTATTTAAATTTAAAAACATAATTCAAAAGAGCCCCAGCACCCGTCTCCCTTTTTTCTGACCTTCACTCTAAATTTAACCTCCACCTGCACTGCCAATTCATATACCTCCAAATTAAACATTCTGCTTATTCCATTTCCTTTACACTAACTTTCTGCAAGCTGATTCTGTAGAAAGCTAAAACTTTTAAACCTAAAGAAGCAGCATCCCTTGTAAGTTATTTACATGGGCATTTGAAATAGCTTAATAGCCTTTTAACTTTAAGATCACTTTAAGTGCTGTAGACCTCCTTCATACAGTGACCCGTTCATATTTTTTCTTTATGTTTCAAGTGTTTATAGCATGTTAGTCTAGAACATACCTTGTGATGTTGATCTGTTACTTAATGAGATTGCCTTGTTTTTAAGGTTGGATGCATGCTGGATACCCAATAATGTGTCATTTACAGTCAGCAGAGGCAATAACCAATGCTGAGCATATAAAGAAAAGTGGTTTCTGGGGACCTATACATGAACTTGGCCACAATGAGCAGAGGGGTGTTTGGGAATTTCCTCCTCATACCACAGAAGCAACATGTAACCTATGGTCAGTATATGTACATGAAACCGTTCTACATATTCCAAGGGATCAAGCACATCCTGCACTAAAGCCAAAAGACAGACAGACTCGAATTCAGCAATATTTAAAGAATGGAGCCAAACTAGAACAATGGAATGTGTGGACTGCTCTGGAGACCTACCTTCAGGTATTGTACACCAGAAAACACTGAAATCTAACAATGAAATTACATCTTACATTGCAGCTCTTAAAAGGGGTCAGATTCAAAAGGGCCAAATGTCAAATTCCCCGATGATTTGCTTTATGTTTACTGAGAATGTATTGGCTATATAAAACACATTTAGCTGTTCAAAGACGATTTAGATTTTGGTTTTTCTTTCATGTTAAATGCTGATTTTCCATATGTATAAAACGGAAAGTCAAGAACAGGTAGAAGGGGAAATGTCAGCATAGTAAGCACATTACTAGGGACCAGTGTTATAGATATAAGTTGCCAGGAAAGAGCAGCAGTGCAGGAAAATAACATTTAACCTTTATTATGTCAGCTAACAGATCTGTCCTAAATACTCACCAATCTTCTTCTGCATCAATCGATCTTTTTTTGGAGTATAAGATCTCAGTGCCTTGGTGAAAACTCTATAACCTCAATACACACTTCTTTAAACTGTGTTTTTTATCTTTTTGAAGGATTACATACCTTAGATGTCTTATTACTCAGGAAAACTGTGTTAGGCATACAGGATTATTATTAGAGTGCTGGCCAGGATGAGCAGAAGTTCTGAAGGCAATAAATCTACTTACAGATTGGGGGAACATAGGAGAGCTGTGACTAGCCACACTAAGATCCCAAAGACTCTTCCGTGTATCTGATGTTAGCTTGTCTAGACAAGAGACTTTATAGGGGTTAAGACTGTTGTCAAATGCAATCACTCCAACCCTTAATGATATAGTGCTGGAATTGTGTTATCTTCACATGCACACAGCCTGCCTAATGGGGCCCTATTTCACCCCTATATGCCATATAGTAGCCATGTGGGCTATGGCCATAGTTATTTTGGTTTATGGAAAAATAGAACAAAGAACAATATTTTAAATAATGTATAGTACTGTTCAGTTGACTTATTTCTAGTAATTTGAATATGTTTGAATAAACACAAAACATTGGTTAGGCAAGAAATTGATAGTTTTATGAACTTCTTGTTTTGATCACACTGTGTGAGTGCACCCAGGGGCGCCCCCATAATGAGACAGACTGAGGCGGTAGGCAGGCCGCCCATCACCTCCGATCTGTCTGACAGCTTGGCCGCCGCCTGATCGGCCAGCTGACACCTCGGCCGGCTGCTGCCTCCCACTTGGCCGGCCGCCGCCTCTGGCCTAGCTAACAGCTAGACAGCCTTTTCCTGGCCTCCTCGGGCGGGCGAAAAAGGTAGGGATGGCCCTGAGTGCACCCAGGCATAGTAATCCATTAAACTGTAAGGAAACACCATCCTCAATTCATGTACAATATATATTGTACTGTATATATAAATAAAACAACCCAACAGTTAGCCATCTCACTTTATTTGTCATGTAAATGTCTGGGTGCTTATCCACAAGGAAATATCCATACAAATCCAAAATAGGTACAGAGGCACTCATGAGAACAGAAAGGGGAGAGAGAAGCGCTGCCAACTGGCTGAGCTCAAGCAGGGTTGGATGGGAGGGATAGGTCAATTGTGCATCGATTGTACAATGGTATAGCTCTCAGGATGTTGATAGTTGATCCGATTGTCAGGAAATGAAAGGAAATATATGTTTGAGGTTTGGGTAATGCGTATAAAGCGTGTAGAGACTCACCATGCAGTTGGGAGTGACGTGCAGTCATCGACGAGTGACGAAATCCGCTGGATCCGGTTACTGGTGGCGAGGATGGAAGTTCCTGGGTTGAATACCCGTTGGTTCAATGGAACTGCTAGTCTTAGGCTGGGAAGAAGGGTCCCGCTATACCCTTTGTCCGAGATAAGAAACAGCATTTTTTTTTGTCAACAATAAATATACTTTTTTTATGAAGCAGGTATTTAATTTCTTAAATTAGTGCAGTGATTCTCTTCAGCGTCAAATCAAAACTAAGACACCTTCCTTTGCTGAGCTCTGATTTAACAGAAATTAACCCCCCTTGTATAGTGTTTTGCTATCTCTAGATTCCTCTTTTTTTTCCCTAGTGTCAACTACTGGGTAATGCTATAACCAGGGCCGGTGCTAGACTATTTTGCTCCCTAGGCAAGACCAGCTACTTGAACCCCCCCACCCCCAGCCTCCTTCCAGTGGTGCAGCCCCCAAACACCTCTGCGCCGCATGGCCCCATTCTCCTGCCAGCCAGCTTCCACCGGTGATAGATAGATGTAAGCAGCCGGGACGATTGCCAGCCTGCTATTGACTTATGCAATTTGAAATGGGGGTGGGGGGGAGCACCAAGGGAGGGGGGGTGTGAGTGGTCAGGGCTGCACCCTAGGCAGCAGTGCGCCCTAGGCGGCTGCCTAGTTTGCCTAGTGGCAGCACCGGCCCTGGCTATAACCCAGAGAAACACAAAACTGTTCATGCCACACAGATAAGGTCCATCATTTCTTCCTGTCTACATGATTAGTAAACAACAATCCTTTTTATGTGTTTATGGTTGAAAGAAATCTGTATGATTAATGCATTTATATCCTTTACACTGGTATTATTTCAATGCTTTTGGTCAACTTTTGTCTAGAGTACATGGTAATTAGTTAATATATTAGCATACTCACTGTCAAGGATGAGTAAAGGGACCATTTTTTCAAAATGCTTTTTGTGTCTGTACCCTGGACAAGTATAGGTTTGCATATCATGATAGTCAGAGCTAAGTCACATGTCCTTATCTTCATACTTGTTCTGGATCAGTGAATAAGATGTCATCAGTGGCAGGCTCCATTTTTCCCCCGGTAACTTATGATTTCTGGAGAGTACGTATAACATTGTAACAATGCTACAAAAGTCAATTAAGTTTACCTAATATTTTACTTTTGTTAAACAGTCTATTGCATCCAGTTTCTTGTCACATACAGTAAGTCTTTGCTGTTCATCTACCATTTCATGCTGCAATATGTGTGGCCAAAGCTGAAGGGGATAGAGAAAGGGCAAGGCATAGACCAGTAAACATGTATAACTGTAAGAGTTTAGATTTCTAATTGGCTCCAGCTGAAGTACAGAAATAAAATCTAGATGAAAATTAGACCAACTCTGATTTATAGTAATTGTGTTTTACTGGAATTTACCTTTAATGTACTTACTACATACAGCACTATACTTATACATGACAAACTGTGTGTAGTGAGCTTTCATTAACAATCATTTCTTTTTTTAATAGCTACAAGAAGGCTTTGGATGGGATCCCTTCAAACGCCTGTTTGCAGAGTACCAGACACTGTCAAATGTCAGTAAAAACAACAAGGATAAGATGAATCTTTGGGCAGAGAAGTTCTCTCAAGCGGTTAATAAGAACTTGGCTCCATTCTTCAAGTCCTGGGGGTGGCCTATTGAAGAGACAACCAGTCAGAAGTTATCTGCATTGCCTGCCTGGGAGGAGGATCCTATGAAGACGTATATCAGTCCCAAGTAATCAGAAGGGTGTGTACAGAAACATGAATTAAACTACACCCAGATATTAGTCCACTTGTTGGACGCATTATTCTTTTTGAGAGTTGGCCCACAGTTGTATCAATAGGGGTGTTTTAATTTCATGGCTTCTATGTATAAATCTGCAGTTTAGAGATTTTATCTCAAGTACATTTATTATTTTACTCCAACCACCTTCATTAACAGGCAGAAGCCGCAGGTGCAGCAAACTGATAGCAGAGAGAATAGAGACCTTTCAACATGAGCAGACTCAACCTGTCCTGTTTGTTTAAGCACAAAACAGTGGGAAAGCTGTTGTCAACGTGTCCATTGTTCAAATAAGATTTTCACGCACTGTGCATTCCTCAAAAGTGTAGATGAGAGAAACTACTTATATAGTACTGGGTGTGTCCCACTAACCATTCACAGCTCAAATTAAAGTGTACTGTATTACTGCATATTGTTACCACAATAATATCTTGAGATGGGATTTGCTATTTAAGCCTTCATATCTACAAGTATTTACTTTGGTTAAGAGGATTTAAGTACCTGTGTTTGTTCTCAACACAGCAGAATACATTTATTTGTATATAGCAATAAGACCCAAATATATCAAACAGCAATCTGCAAAGAAACTATGAACTATGCAATAACATATTATTATATACACAAACAGTGGGATAGACAAGCATGACTAAGTGCCAAGCTATACCTATATCATTACCAGTTAAATTGTATGTGGGAACCCCATTTCATTGTTGAAAAGACTCCTTTTTCCCTCCAGAGCCTGGGCTTCCCCCCTCCAGAAAGGCAGCAGCTTAGAGCATGACCAGAATGTATGAAGTAGTGTGCCAGGTGCAGTTCGACATCTCCAGCACATGGGGGAAACTTGTGGGAACATAGAATCAGAGCCTGGGCTGTTATAGGGATGGCTTTCATAGACTTCTAGTACTATTCTAATCAAATTAGAATAGTCCTTTGGGGATTGGGTACTTTTCAAATGCCCTTTATTACTAAAACCCAACCACTTTCAACCCAAATCTTTTATAAATTAACTGCCCAGACTCCTGGAGGGTAAATTACAAAGGGACAGCTGTTTGTAGGGCTTACCCCCAAAAAAGGTATGCATCATTACAAGGCTGGCCATCCTTATTGATTACCTCAATAAGGGGATGCTTTAAAACTGGTAGCCTGAGACAAAGAGAGTTTGCATCCATTTTCTAAATAAGCAAACCTGGTACAAGCTAGTCTGTAGAACCTGTTGTCCCTATATGGTATCATCTATAATTAATAGTACATCTTAGCAGCCATTTGAAATTAAATTACTACAACCACCCCAAGTATAGACTAACAGACAAAATAAGGAGATAGATTACACACATACAGTATATAGCAGGGCTCAAAATTTCAGGCCCTGAGCTACTAGCCAGGCCGTAAGAGTTACTCGCCACCAGTTGCCCACCTAACCCCTACCCTGCCCCGGCCGTACCTCCGACAGCTCAGCAGTGTGACGCAAAGTACAGAGATCAGTAACAACACAGAGTTGTGGTGTAGTGCCAAGTACAGAGGTCAGTAATGTAACACACTGTATAGAGGTCAGTAATGTAACGCACTGTACAGAGATCAGTAATGTAACGCACAGTGCAGAGGACAGTAATGTAACGCACAGTGCAGAGGACAGTAATGCAACGCACAGTGCAGAGGACAGTAATGTAACGCACAGTGCAGAGGACAGTAATGTAACGCACAGTGCAGTACAGAGGTTAGCAGGACAGAGGTCAGTAATGTGAAGCACAGTACAGAGGTCACTAATGTAATGCACAGTGCAGAGATCAGCAGTACAGAGGTCAGTAATGTAATGAACAGTAAAGAGGTCAGCAGTACAGAGGTCAGTAATGTAACGCACAGTACAGGTCACTAATGTAACGCACAGTGCAGAGGTCAGCAGTACAGAGGTCAGTAATGTAACGCACAGATGTCAGCGGTGCAAGGCAGAAAGAACCGGGACTGATCTGATTTAGGTGCCCTCTTCCTCTCCTGCCCTTTTCCTCTTCCTCTCCTGATTTAGATGCCCTTTTCCTGGTGGTGCTGGTAGGGGGGGGGGGGGTACCAGGGATCCCAACCTGAAAGAATACATTTCCAGGAGGTGCCCTTCTCATTTCAGGGAGGTGTCCTCGCCCCCCCCCCCATCCCGGGGGGGGGGGAGAGAGAGCACCCCCCTGAAATAATGGCAGATAGCAGAAGAAGCAACAGCTTCTTTGCTATCTGCAGTTTTTTTTTGTATTCTGACAGCTGCTGCCATCAGATTAAAAATAAATAAATAAAAAAACCAGCATAGGAATGCATAGCTAGATTCCTATTGGCTATTCAAATTTGCAATATCCAGTAGCAAGCTGGCTATTGCACCCGCCCTCTACTGCTGTCAATCACTAGAAGAGGACCTGATGGAGAACTTCAAGTCCCACTCTGCTGATTGACAGCAGCAGTGGGTGGGTGCAATAGCTAGTTTTCCATTGACTATTGCAATGCAAAGTGAAATAGCCAATAGGAATTTAGCTATGCATTCCTATGCTGTTTTTTTTCTGACTGACTGACGGCGGCCGGCGCTTCCGATGTCAGAAGAACAAAAAAACGAGCAGGGAAAGGTTTACTCTGCTCGATTGAGCAGAGTAAACCTTTCCGTAGGAGAAAGTGTTTCTCTCCTTGGCGGCCGGGAGCCGCTATCTAATAGCGGGAGACTCCCGGAGCGTCCGGGAGAGTTGGGATGTCTGAGGTACAGAGATGTATCCTGCATGTTCACAGCTGAAGCCTCCCTTCCCGCGCTGCAAAAACTTAGAGCCGGCCAAGCAGCTGCAGTCTTCCTCCAGCCTATGGCAGATGAGGTGGGCGGAGGAAGCTGCAGGTGGCCAGAGTTAAGGGAAGACAGCCGAACTGATTCTTCTCCTCCTCGGCCGCTCTGTAGCTGCAGCGGCCGCGGAGGAGAAGAAACAGTTTGGCCGTCTTTCGTTCACCCTGGCCAGAGAAGAGAGAGCAATCGCCGCAGAAGCAGCGGCAGTTTCAACCACGCCCCCCGTCCTGCCGGCAGCAAACCCCCCGCTGATGAATTTCCACTCGCCCCCTCACAATTTTCACTCGCCGATTGCGAGGGGGCAAGTGAAAATTTTGAGCCCTGGTATATAGAATAATCATACACTAAATAATAATAATCTACATACATAATTATTTACATTTACCAATGGAGATTTCACATAAATCTCATGGCAACAATATTTCATAATACATGAAACGTGTATAAAACACACTAATGTATGATACATTAGGCAATATCTTTTCCCACTACCAATAGTTTTGTTATGGATGAAACTTTTCTAAAGCTGTTGTGATATTCTTTCTTCTTGCTTATCTTCTCAGCCCATACATTACTTCAATGAATCTTATGTGATATGATGATGCTGGCCATTTCTGGCAAAGCACCAAATATGTATTCATATTGCATAAAGCACCAAATATGCTTCTGCGGCGATTGCTCTCTCTTCTCTGGCCGGGGTGAAGGAAAGACGGCCAAACTGATTCTTCTCCTCCGCGGCCGCTGCAGCTACAGAGCGGCCGAGGAGGAGAAGAATCAGTTTGGCTGTCTTCCCTTAACTCTGGCCACCTGCAGCTTCCTCCGCCCACCTCATCTGCCATAGGCTGGAGGAAGACTGCAGCTGCTTGGCCGGCTCTAAGTTTTTGCAGCGCGGGAAGGGAGCCTTCAGCTGTGAACATGCAGGATACATCTCTGTACCCCAGACATCCCAACTCTCAAGGAAGCTCCGGGAGTCTCCCGCTATTGGGGGTTGGGGGTGACAGCCAAGAGAAAGTAATGAGGGACAAGAGATGGGAGTTACATGAGGGAGTGAGAAAGGTTTTATGAGAGAGATGAGTAGTAAGTGCATATTTTGGGCAGCGGAAGAAAAGCAAGGAGAGGATAATGACAGCAAAAGACAGGACAGGGAAAGATGAATTGTGAGGGCATAAGGGATATAAAAACAAATAAACCAACTATGAATTGCCGCTCAGTGGGGTATCTAGGGTATGGCAGGAAGGGCCTGCTTGAGGGGGTTGCTGCACCACTTAGAGACAGTGGTAGTGTATATCAATGTCACCCATTGAAGTGTATTGTTTGAATGTCTGCATTCCGTACTTTGGTTATTCACCAATACTGGTGGTTGGTAGGTGGGATCATGGTTCAGACACTGTAGTTTCCACTTAGTTTTTGCCTGTTTTGTTTTTGTATTGTTATGTGTTAACTGTTCTATCTTTTTTTTTCTTATTTGTTTGCATTTTTGTTTTATATGCAAAATTAATAAAAAAATAATGAATAAAAAAAAAAGTCAAACACCTCTCTTCATCCTTCCTGGACCAGGGGACCAATAGGCTTTGGTGTCACTGAAATCATTCCATATGCCATGCTGTACATTTCCTGTTCCACAATGCCTCATTTTATATTCCATGTTGTACATTCTCAATTCCACAATGCCTCATTTTATCTGCCATGTTGTACATTCCCTATTCAACAATGCCTCATTTATATGCCATGCTGTACATTCCCTATTCCACACTGCCTCATTTATATGCCATGCTGTACATTCCCTATTCCACACTGCCTCATTTTATATGCCATGCTGTACATTCTGTATTCCACATGGCCTCATTTATATGCCATGCTGTACATTCCCTATTCCACAATGCCTCATTTTATCTGCCATGCTGTACATTCCTTATTCCACAATGCCTCATTTTATCTGCCATGTTGTACATTCTCTATTCCACAATGCCTCATTTTATATTCCATGTTGTACATTCTCAATTCCACAATGCCTCATTTTATCTGCCATGTTGTACATTCCCTATTCAACAATGCCTCATTTATATGCCATGCTGTACATTCCCTATTCCACACTGCCTCATTTATATGCCATGCTGTACATTCCCTATTCCACACTGCCTCATTTTATATGCCATGCTGTACA